GCCCTACAGGATCCCAGACTGACACTGCACTCTACCTCATCAGCTTTCCATTTTCTCTGACCAACTCCTTACTCCACTCCCCTTTAAAGCTTTTTGCTCATGAATCCCAAATTTATGCTTTTTCATTTTAACTTTAAAACCCTACCCCATTCCAATAACAATAATAGAGTACATTGCCCTTGTGTGGTTCTTTATAGTTTTTCAAAGCACATTTTTCTTAATTCATTTGATCTTATTTCAGTCCACTATTTTCCACATACCTTTTCTAGAGTATCGAGGAGTTGGGTGCAGTGGGTCACACCTGTAATCCCAGCACTTTGGGAGTCTGAGGTGGGTAGATCACTTGAGGTCAGGAGTTTGAGACCAACCTGGCTGACTTGGTGAAACCCTGTCTCTACTAAAAATAAAAAAAAAAAGTAGCCAGGTGTAGTGGCAGGTTCCTGTAATCCTAGCTACAGGTGCCCATGAGGCTGGAGAATCACTTGAACCCAGGAGTGGAGGTTGCGGTGAGCTGAGCTTGTGCCACTGCACTCCAGCTTGGGTGACGGTGCGAGACTCTATCTCAAAAAAAAGGGTATAGAGGGATTGAAATGCCAAGAAACCTCGGCAGTTTATCAAATAACATCTTTGCCAAACATCATAATGCCAGTTGTGGGACTGGCCTGTGCTTCCTTTAAGCCTTGGAGTTGTTATGAAAAGTTTTCTCCAAATAGAGTTTTGTTAATCATACTCTTTAAGATGTGTTATAAAATTTCTTAGGTCTTTGGAGAGAGATAAACTGTTATAATAATTACTGTGGAGATGTTACTGGAAAGGGGTCCTGATCCAGATCCCGAGAGACTGTTCTTGGACCTCATGCAAGAAATAATTTCGTTGGAGTCCATAGAGTAAAGTGAATGTAAGTTTGTTAAGTAAGGAAACAAAAGAATGGCTACCCCATAGGCAGAGCAGTAGCTTGGGCTGCTCGACTGATAATACCGTAATTATTTATTGATTATATGCTAAACAAGGGGTGGATTATTCATGAGTTTTCCAGGAAAAGGGTGGGCAATTCCCAGAAATGAGAGTTCCTCCCCCTTTCAGACCATGTATGGGTAACTCCCTGATATTGCCATGGCATTTGTAAACTGTTATGGTGCCGGTGGTAGTGTCTTTTAGCATGCATGCTAATGTATTATAGTTAGAGCATAATGAGCAGTGAGGACAGCCAGCGCTCACTTTTGTCACCATCTTGGTTTTGTTGGGTTTTGGCCGACTCCTTTACCATCACCTGTTTTATCTGCATGGTCTTTGTGAATTGTACCTTGTGCCGACCTCCTATCTTATCCTGTGACTTAGAATGCCTAGCTTCCTGGGAATGCAGCCCAGTGGGCCTAAGACTAATTTTACCAAGCCCCTATTCATAATGGAGTCGCTTTGGTTCAGATGCCTCTGACAGAGAGGGTAGCTTTTTGTTATATACTCTTTTTTTGTTTGTTTGTTTGTTTGAGACTGAGTTTCTCTCAGTTACCCAGGCTGGAGTGCAATGGCGGGATCTCGGCTCACCGCAACCTCCACCTCCCGGGTTCAGGCAGTTCTCCTGCCTCAGCCTCCCGAGTAGTTGGAATTACAGGCACACGCCACCATGTCCAGTTAATTTTTCGTATTTTTAGTAGAGACGGGGTTTCACCATGTTGACCAGGATGGTCTCGATCTCTTGACCTCGTGATCCACCTGCCTCAGCCTCCCAAAGTGCTGGGATTACAGGCTTGAGCCACCGCGCCCGGCCCTTATATACTCTTTTTGTACCTTCAGAAATTTGGTTAAACGCATGCTTGTTGTATCTGTTTAAATTAGTTATATGTATATATAAACGCTGGAAAGTTGCTGTTCTCATTATAGTTTTTTCAAAAAGCAGCCAGCTTGTATTTGACAATTTGGAAAATACAGGAGAAAAAAGTTATTCCAGCTGGGTGTGGTGGCTCACCCCTGTAATCCCAGTACTTTGGGAGGCTGAGGTAGGTGGATCACGAGGTCAGGAGTTCAAGACCAACCTGGCCTAGATGGTGAAACCCTGTCTTTACTAAAAATACAAAAATTAGCTGGGCACAGTGGCAGTCACCTGTAATCCCAGCTACTTGGGAGGCTGAGGCAGGAGAATCACTTTAACCGGAGGGTAGGTTGTAGTGAGCCGAGGGTGTTTCCACTGCACTCCATCCTGGGCCACAGAGTGAGATTCTTGTCTACCAAAAAAAAAAAAAAGATTACTCCAAATCCTACAACGAATTGGGATTGTCATTAAAAATGAACTTTTTTTTTTTTTTTCCCCCCAGACAGGGTCTTGCTCTGTCACCCAGGCTGGAGGGCAGTAGCACAATCTCAGCTCACTGGAACCTCCCGCCTCCCAGGTTGAAGTGATTCTCCTGCCTAAGCCATCTGAGTAGCTGGGATTACGGGCACCCAACACCACACCCAGCAAATTTGCATTTTTAGTAGAGACAGGGTTTCACCCTGTTGGCTAGGCTGGTCTTGAACTCCTGACCTGAAGCGATCCACCCACCTTGGCCTCCCAAGGTGGTGGGATTACAGGTGTGAGCCTCCGTGCCCGGCTAAAAATAAACTTTTTTTTTTTTTTTTTTTTTGAAACGGAGTTTTGCTCTTGTTCCCAGGCTGGAGTGCAATGGTGCAATCTTGGCTCACTGCAACCTCCACCTCCGGGGTTCAGGCAATGCTCCTGCCTCAGCCTCCTGAGTAGATGGGATTACAGGCATGCGCCACCATGCCTAGCTAATTTTTTGTATTTTTAGTAAAGACGGGGTTTCACCATGTTAAGCAGGATGGTCTTGATCTCTTGACCTCGTGATCCATGATCCACCCGCCTCGGCCTCCCAAGGTGCTGGGATTTCAGGCATGAGCCACTGCGCCCAGCAAAAATAAACTCTTGAGTAGACGTTCTGTAAAACATTTACACTTCCTATAAACAGATACTTCTAAATATGTGGATTTTTGTTTATTTGTTTTTGAGGAAAGGTCTTACTGTGTTGCACAGGTTAGAGTGCGGTGACCACATCAGCTTACTGTAGCCCAAACTCCTGGGCTCAAGTGATCCTCCTACCTCAGCCTCCTGAGTAGCTGGGACTACAGGCATGTGCCACCATGCCTGGCTCATTTTTTGTTTGTTTGTTGAGATGGGGTCTCATTATGTTGCCTAGGCTTCTCTTGAGCTCCTGGGCTCAAGTGGTCTTCCCACCTCAGCCTCCCAACATTCTGGGATTTACAGATATGAGCCACTGTGTTCAGCCCAAATATGATTTTTGTGGTAGGAATGCTGATAGTGTTAGAAGGCTTTTCTCTGTGTATCAAGGTTTTTCATATCTGCACTCCATTTGAGAAGAGTAAAACATAGAACTCTGTCATAAGTTTCTGAACTTAGAATAAATAGCGAAGAAGTAACAAGCCAGTCTTCTTACTTGTTACAGGTGCTATGCACCTGTAGTCCCAGCTACTTGGGAGGCAAAGGTAGAAGGATTGCTTGAGCCCAGGAGTTAGAGGCCAGCCTAGGCAATATAGATTCTCTCTCTCTCTCTGTTTCGTATGTTTGTTTTTTGGAGACTGAGTCTAGCTCTGTCACCCAGGCTGGGGTGCAGTGGCACAGTTTCAGCTCACTACAACCTACCCCTCCCAGGTTCAAGCAACTGCCCACTTCAGCCTCCTGAGTAGCTGGGATTACAGGCACATGCCACCATGCCCAGCTACGTTTTTGTATTTATAGTAGAGACGGGGTTTCACTATCTTGGCCAGGCTGGTCTTGAACTCCTGACCTTGTGATCCACCTGCCTCAGCCTCCTAAAGTGCTGGGATTACAGGTGTGAGCCACCACGCCTGGCCAACACCTTGTCTCTTAACAAACAATAACCCGCTCTTAGCTGATGCCTCACTTAAACTCTGTGATCCTTGCTACCCCAGCCCCATCAAAGTTGATATGCTGTGTATTATTCAGCAATGACAGTTAGGAAGAATAAAGGAAATAGAAATGAAGAGGTAGAATGGTCAGTGTTTTGCAGTTGGTTTTGTGTGCAGCATAAAGATGGTAAACTCAGATGATGAAGTTTCATGTATGGACGGTAGGCTTGTAGAGATTAGGCTTTGGAACTAGATTCCTGGATTCAGATCCCATCTCTACAGCTTCGTAGCTGTTCCTGGGCAGCGTTTTTTAACCTCTGAGCCTCAGTTTGCTGTGTATAAATGGGAATAATTTAGTACCCACTTCATTAGGTTATTTCGGGGCTTTAGAGAAATTCCACATAAAGCACTTAGCTTAGTGCCTGAGTGTTTTTTATTAATTATTAATAGCAAGGCCACTTTTTAAGCTAGAGAACAAACAAGGAGGAGCAGAGGTAAGAGATGTTAAAGAAGACGATTTTCGTTTGGAGGAGCTGAGTTTGAAGCAGCCAAGGGCAGTATCCAGAAGACAGGACTGCTGGCCTGGCCTGGAAAGGGAATTACTTGGGCTGTTGCAGGAGTGATGATGCTGGATCCACTATGTAGCTTTGCATTCATTCTCTGAAACTGCTTCCTAGATGGCTTCAAAGCTCCCAAAGCTCCACTGGTTCGAACCTGTGAAAAATGTTTGATGAACTGAGACAACTTGGGGGTTACTCACCTTTAGCTCCAGATCATAGTTGACTAACTGGAAAGTTTTTGTGCTTTTTCCAACCACGGGCACCAGGGCTGCTGCCTGTGTGTGTATGTGTTCCCTGCTCTGTGGTGCCTGGGCCAGGGGAGAACGAGGTGAAATCCCGCTGTTGTCTTCACTCCAAGCCTTGTGCACCTGGCTGCAACTGAATGGGCTGGCAGGATTTCTGCCTTGGGAATGTCTGTCTGCTCCCTCCATGGGTGGGGCTTGAGAGTCAAGCCACCGAGGATGTTGCCTGGCACCAACCTGACTATGTGGTCAGCGTAGTTTTCTTTGATAAGGACCGCATCCTGGAGTTACTTACATTCTCTTTTTCTTATTGCAGATCATCAATGCCGTGGTACTGTTGATTTTACTGAGTGCCCTGGCTGACCCGGATCAGTATCGCTTTTCAAGTTCTGAACTGGGCGGTGACTTTGAGTTCATGGATGATGCCAGTAAGTAGTAGATACTTTGGTATTTTCAAGGGCGGGGAATCTGACTCCAGTACTTCCTATTAAATTACAAATATTGACTCGTGAGCCCATTTGAGCTGATACATAACTTTCTGTCATCATAAATCAATAAATACTTATGTGGGTCCAACATTCTGACTGTCTTCTAGGTGCAAGAGTCTAAATAAGATCTTTTCTCATCTCATGTTAACTTACTCATTTAAAAAACTTGCATTGTCGTAGACTTTCTACCATGGGCCTTTTGGCCTTTTTTGAGAGGACGAGGTATAAATGCAGGAAGGAAGGTGAAAAGCTCATGCTTATCTCCTTGTGTCTTCTATTATGTTTCAGTATTTGTTTTTGTTCTAGGACGTGATTCTTTTCCATTCTAGAAATGACGTTGCAGATTATTTGGGGGAGTTTAGGATGTGTTTCCAGTGAATGGAAATATGTACAGAGGTGTGGATGTGGGGTAAGTAGGGAGGAAGCTAGGCTCCCAGCTTCGAGATCACTGCAGCCTAATCATTTTATAATCATAATCATGCTGAGTCCATGGCAAAGGAGAGGGGCAGTGCTGTGCATGATCTGAGACAGAAGAGAGTACAGATTTATTTCTCATTGGCTTTGGAGACTTCAAATGAGTTTTTCGTAAAAAGAGTTGGAGCAAATAAGAGGAGAGGGAGAGAGTGGCTCAGCACCTAGTTTTAGAGCTTGATAGGAGGCATACGAAAGACATGGTGAGGGCTCTGTTTCTCCAAGTGAGAAAAAGCTGTTCAGTGGTTTTAATTAAATGCATTAACTAATGTGTACATTTAAAATCCCTTTTGTTGCTGAGTGGAGGGTGCATTTGGGGGACTGTGTGTGAGCACAAAGGCTGGGAGAGTGGTATGGGGGATACCACCTAGGCTGCACTGGGGATAGAGAACAGGGAGGGATTTGGCAGAATTTGCTGGTTTGGGCGGTGAAGGAAATGGAGGAATCAAAGATAATTTCTGCTTTCGAGCTTGAGGAGGTTACCTGCATCTTTACTCAGCTGAGAAAGTCCGGAGTCAGGAAGTGGGACAAAACTAGACTTTAATTTCAGTAACGAGCTGAGCATGGTTGTTAGGGATTGATAGGTACATTGTGTTCCCACCCAAATCTCAACTTGAATTGTATCTTCCAGAATTCCCCTATGTTGTGGGAGGGACCCACGTGGAGTTAATTGGGAGCCGGTCACGTGGAGTCATGGGAGCCGGTGTTTCCTTTGCTATTCTCGTGATAATAAATAAGTCTCCCGAGATCTCATAGGTTTATCAGGAGTTTCCGCTTTTGCCTCTCCTCATTGTCTCTTGTCATCGCCATGGAGGGAATGCTTTTCACCCTCTGCCGTGATTCTGAGGACTCCCGAGCCAAATGAACTGTAAGTTTAGTTAAACCTCTTCCCCAGTCTTGGGTGTGTCTTTATCAGCCCCGTGTAAATGGACTAATACAGTAAATTGGTACCAGTAGAGTGGAGTGTTACTGAAAAGGTATCTGAAAATGTGGAAGTAAGTTTGGAACTGAGTAAAAGGCAGAAGCTGGAACAGTTTGGAGGGTTTAGAAGAAGACAGAAACATGTGGGAAAGTGGCAAGGTGCGGTGGCTCATGCCTGTAATCCCGGCAAATTGGGAGGCCAAGGTGGGTGGATCATGAGGTCAGGAGTTGAAGACCAGCCTGGGTAACATGGTGAAACCCCGTATCTACTAAAAATACAAAAATTAGCTGGGCGTGGTGGTGCAACCTGTGATCCCAGCTACTCAAGAGGCTGAGGCAGGAGAATTGCGTGAACCACAGGGGCAGAGGTTGTGGTGAGCCCCGGAGGCAGAAGTTGCAGTGAGCAGATATCAAGCCACTGTACTACAGCCTGGGTGACGGAGTGAGACTCAGTCTCAAAAAAAAAAAAGAAAGAAAAAGAAAATATGGGAAAATTTGGAACTTCCTAGAGACTTGCTGAATGGCTTTGACGGAAATGTTGATAATGATGTGAATAATCAGGTCGAGGCTGAAGTGGTCTCAGATGGAGATGAGGAACTTGTTGAGAATTGGAGCAAAGGTGACTCTTTATAACCATCTGATTTTTTTTTTTTTTGAGATGGAGTCTTGTGCTGTGGCTGTCTGAAGTACAGTGTATTTCAACTCACTGCATCCTCGGCCTTCTGGGTTCAAGAGATTGAACCCTTGCCTCAGCCTCCCTGTGGCTGAGACTATGTGCCAAGCTATTTTTTTTTTTTTTTTTTTAATTTTAATAGAGTGGGGTTTTGGCCATGTTGGCGATTATGGTCTCGATCTCCTGACCTCATGATCCCCCCCACCTCCTGACCTCATGATCCCTCCACCTCGGCCTCCCAAAGGGCTGGGATTACAGGCATGGCGAAACCCTGTCTCTACTAAAAATACAAAAATTGTTTGGATATGGTGGCCCATGCCTGTGGTCCTAGGTACTTGGGAGGCTGAGGCAGGAGAATTGCTTTAACCTGCGGGGGGCAGAGGCTGCAGTGAGCTGAGGTAATGCCGCTATACTCCATCCTGGGCGACAGAGGAACACTCTGTCCGGGGGTGGGGGAAAAGAAAGTAATTACAAACTATATATTCAGTCCTTTCAAATATATAAAATACAAGAGAAACCACAAATTTACTGGAATTAACATCCAGGACATTGTAAAACAATTACTATTTTGAAGTCTTAAGTACCAGCAAGCCTTTCAAGGTAGCTAAACTTAGCCTATCATGTCAGATAGTCATTACCCAGCTTAATCTCTGGTGATGAGAATAAGGCCTGCAGTGTTTCTATTCGATCCAGATAGAACCATAGCATTAGCATTTAAACTTCTTTTCCTAACTTCAATTACCTAAGAAAGGGAATCCTGATACTGGAATTGTGTAGCTTTAATCTGAGAGGAAAGAAAGCAGAGTGACATTCATTTGGCCTGGCGCGGTGGCTCAAGCTTGTAATCCCAGCACTTTGGGAGGCCGAGGCGGGTGGATCACGAGGTCAACAGATTGAGACCATCCTGGTCAACATGGTGAAACCCCATCTCTACTAAAAATACAAAAAATTAGCTGGGCATGGTGGCGCGTACCTGTAATCCCAGCTACTCAGGAGGCTGAGGCAGGAGAATTGCCTGAACCCGGGAGGCAGAGGTTGCGGTGAGCTGAGATCGCGCCATTGCACTCCAGCCTGGGTAACAAGAGCGAAACTCAGTCTCAAAAAAAAACCAACAACAAAACAGTGACATTTATTTATCATTAATTAAACTCACTATTCTTTCTGGAAGAATTCATATGAGTAATGGGGGTCATTCAGAATAGAGAGAATAAGAAATGTTAGACCAGGCACAGTGGCTCACACCTATAATCCCAGCACTTTGGGAGGCTGAAATGGGTGGATTGCTTGAGCTCGGGAGTTCAAGATCAGCCTGGGCGAAACCCTGCTCAACTAAAAAAAAAAAAAATAGAAAAATTTGCTGGGTGTGATGGTGTGTGTCTGTAATCCCAGCTATTTGGGAGGCTGAGGTGGGAATTGCTTAAGCCTGGGGACAGACATTGCAGTGAGCTGAGATTGTGCCACTGCACTCCAGCCCAGGCGACAGAGCCAGACCCTGTCTCAAAAAAAAACAAAACAAAAAAAATTATGGAAGTTAATACAGCAATTTTATCTTGATATGTTTTTGCTGTGGTGACACCTATCTGAAGATTTCATCCAGCCAGACAGAGCACAACTCTTTCTCTCTTTTACATGTGATTCTTTCCCCCCCTGTGATCTGGTAGAAGAAAGCTAAATTGCGGTTTATATTAAAATGAGGTGTATAGGAGAATCTACTGGAATAAAAAAAGAAAATACAAAGAAATAGCTTAAAAAACTTTTTTTTGAGACAGGGTCCCACTTTGTCACCAGACTGGAGTGCTGTGTGACACACAATCTGGGTTTACTGCAATCTCTACCTTCTGGACTCAAGCGATTCTCCTACCTTTAGCCTCTCAAGTAGTTGTAACTAGAGGCCTGAGCCACCACGCCTGGCTAATTTTTTGTAGAGATGGGCTTTTGCCATGTTGCCCAGGCTAGTCCTGAACTCCTGAGCTCAAGCAATTCGTCCTCCTCGACCTCCCAAAGTGCTGGGGTTACAGGCATAAGCCACCCTACCCGGCTTCAATTGACTATACTGGGAAAGAATGTGGAACTGTCATAGACTGGAAGAGACACAGTTAAATGCAGTGTGGGGTCCTGGATTAGATTCTGGAAAAGAAAAGGGACATTGAGGGGGAACAGGTGAAATTCAAATTAGTTGGCTGGGCGTGGTGGCTCACGCCTGTAATCCCAGCACTTTGAGAGGCCAGTGCGGGTGGATTTTGAGGTAAAGAGATCGAGACCATCCTGGCCAACACGATGAAATCCCGTCTCTACTAAAAATACAAAAACATTAGCTGGGCGTGATGGCACGCGCCTGTGGTCCCAGCTACTCGGGAGGCTGAGGCCCAGGAATGACTAGAACCCAGGAGGCAGAGGCTGTAGTGAGCTGAGATTGCGCCACTACACTCCAGCCTGGTGACAGAGCAAGACTCTGTCTCAAAAAAAAAAAAGAAAAGAAAAAAAAAATGAATTCAAATTGGTTGTTCAGTTTACTTAATAGTGTTGTACGAATATTAATTTCCTGGCTTTGGTGTTATGCTAGAGCTAGGTAAATTGTTAATAAGGGAAGCCGGGTCAAGGGTATAGGTGAATTCTGCTGTGTTTATAACTTTCTTATATGTCTAAAATGACTTTAGAATAAAAAGTTAGAAAATGTAGTTCAGTCCACTGACTTAGAAGCTCAAAGAGTAATGATTGAAAAGCATGTATGTGTGACATACGGTGTTACACACTCAGCTTTGAGTAGAGGTAGATTTCACGAAATTTTATTTGTGAAATTTTGTTTGGCAAAGATTATAACCTCAGATGTCCGTGCTATGCATAATATCAAACAGCAGTTCATCCAGATTAATTTCTAATTAATTTTGTGGCAGATTTGTCTTTCTAGTCAAACTTATCGTCTTCTCTGGGCAGACAAAGTTAGCCTGAAGAAAGAATAGCCAGATAGGTTGTCAAAAAATGATGGCTACTTATATATACAGTCCCTGGATTTAGGCTAAAGACACCACTGCGTTTACTGGAGAAAGGATGGTCTTTTTAATAAATGGTTCTGGGTGAAATCAATAAGAGAAAGATACACACCTCCAAAAGAAGATATCCATACAAGAGTATTCTCCACATATAAGTTTCAGGGAATTGTAAATTACAACCACAGTAGTAAATTACTGTGCCCCTTCAAAATGACCAACATTAACACAGTTGACAAAAACCAATTGGTGTCGATGCCGAACAACGGGAACTCTCAAATCATGGCTGGGAATGTAAACTAAATCAACCACTTTGGAAAAGTAAAGCTGAATATGCATCGACGTTATGGCCTCAAATTCCATTCCTTGATACATGTACACTCCAGGAGTGAGCGCCACACAACCCAGCCCTAGACATACACCCTGGAGAAATGGCTGCTTCATAAATCCATCATCAGCCGTGTATAAAAGTGGTCATAGTAGCTTTATTTCTAATAGCCAAAAGTTGGAAACAATCCAGATTTCCACCAATGGTAGAATGGGCAAAAACGAAGCAATCACAGATGAAGCAACATAAGCAAAAGGTGATGAGATTCATTGTACTTCTGTGTGTATGCTTACACGTGTATGTGTATGTTTGAACGTTTTGATAATAAAAACAGAAATAGGAAACGGCAACTAAAAAGGGTGACGAGCCTGGGGAGGGCCGGCTTTGCTGATGGCGCTCAGCATCACAAACTAAAGCTCACTGTTCCCGGGCATGGAAAGAGCCCTGGGCTGCCTCCCTGCTCTCTATTCACATACCGTATCTCCCTTGGCAGCCTGCACAGCTTGCCTGCTTGTGCACAAAGATCCTGACGACCTTGAGGAAATGGAACTACAGCAGCAGGGGAAGCTGAGCCAGGGGAACCGCCCTGGCCCTTTATTTTCATGACTTTTTAATTTTATTTTTTGAGACAGGATCTCGCTCTGTCGCCCAGGCTGGAGTGCACTGGCACAGTCTCGGCTCACTGCAGCCTCTGCTTTCTGGGCTCAGGCAGTTCTCCCACCTCTGCCTCCTGAGTAGCTGTGACCATAGGTGCACACCACCACACCTGGCTATTTCTTGTATTTTTAGTAGAGATGGGGTTTCGCCCTGTTGCCCAAGTTGGTCTTAAACTCCTGGGCTCAAGTGATCATCCACCTTGGCCTCCAAAAGTACTGGGATTGCAGGAGTGAGCACCGTGCCTGGCCTGGCTCTGTATTTCCATTCATCCTTCCAATTCTTTCAACTGTTTATCTTTTAAACCACATGGTTCAAAAGGAAGCATACTTTACATCTTGACTTTTATTTTCTTTTTTAGGACTTAGAACAATTCTAACTTGACTTGCTTTAAAACGATAATTCAATGAATTTTTTGTTTTCTGTTTTTTGTTTTATTTTTGGGTTGAAGTCTCACTCTGTCACCCATGCTGGAGTACAGTGGTGCCATCTCGGCTCACTGCAACCTCCACCTCCCAGGTTCAAGTGATTCTCCTGCCTTGGAGAACGGAGCTACTTCTCCCGAGTAGCTGAAATTACAGGGGTGCCCCACCATGCCCAGCTAATTTTTTGTGTATTTTGTAGAGATGGGCTTTCATCATGTTGACCAGGCTGGTCTTGAACTCCTGACCTCAAGTGATCTACCTTCCTTCCCCCTGAGTTTTGGAATTACAGGCGTGAGCCACTGGCTCATGCTTAGCCTGGATACTTACTTTCAAGGAGATTTTTGCAAAGGTATACCTTTTTCGGTATGAGAAAACCACTAGAGATGGTAACTTGGATAATCTTGGAAGGCCATAGTTACTGGAGCTGGGAATGAGACAGCCACCTAGGTTTAACCTTTTTGTGAGGAGCAGTGACATTTGGACTAGGTCTATCACCAACCCAAGACGAGCTCAGATTGGAAGGCACCCTCACTCTCTTCCCTCATCTGATCTCATTCCCTCACCAGAGGGTGGAGGGCAGAGGAGCTGTATGTGGAGATGCCGCACAGATCACTGCCTGGGGCAGAGAACAGGGTGTTGAAGAGTGGATTTGGAACAGCACTGGAAGCCAGCTGGTTGAGCCACTCCGCAACTTATCTTGATGTTCCACCTAACCAACCAGTTTTCTTGGTGTATATTTCCCTACATTGCTTACAAGAATACTATATAAAGCTCTGCTTAATGTCTTACTGAAATCTTAGGATGACATATTAGGGTTCTCTAGACGGACAGCACTAATGGGATATATTTAAGGGAGTTTATTAAGGAGAATTGACTCACACGATCACAAGGTAAAGTCCCATGGTAGGCTGTCTACCAGTTGAGGAGTAAGGAAGCCAGTGATGGATCAGTCTGAGTCCCAAAACCTCAAAAGTAGGGAAGCCGACAAGGTGGCTGTTAGTCTGTGGCCAAAGACCTGAGAGCCCCTGGCAAACCACTGGTGTAAGTCCAAGAGTCCAAAAGCTGAAGAATTTGGCTTCTGATGTGCGAGGGCAGGAAGCATCAATCATAGGAGAAAGATGAAGGGCCAGAAGACTCAGCAAGTCTGCTCGTCCATCTTCTCCTGCCTGCTTTATTCTAGCCGGGCTGGCAGCTGATTAGACGATGCCCACTCAGATTGAGGGTGGGTCTGTGTCTCCCAGTCCACTGACTGAATTGCTCATCTCCTGTGGCGGCACCCTCACAGGCACACCCAGGAACAATATTTTGCATCTTTCAATCCGGTCAAGCTGACACTCAGTATTAACCATCACAGATGCACTAAGCCTATTTGCCACCAGCTGAGCAGGAGCTAGATCAGCTCTGGTGTCCAGTATTCCTCTCTTCCTGCTCCTTTCCTCACCAGCTGCTTCTCCGATGCATATTGTTGTTGTTGTTTACATTTTAATGTTTCTGAAATCAGGATGTGATTTGCAATTTAGCAGAGATTTAGTGTAAGCATCCTTTTTTCCCCTCTAGATCTTTATGTTGAAAATATTCAAAGCTTTCATTTAGAAAAGTTGCATGTACAATGAAAACCAATATTATTTTTCTCATTAACAATCATTTGTTCTGCCAGATCTAAGAAAAGGGGTTTAAAAAACCCAGTAGTTTGGAGTTCATTTTTATAGAATTATTTCTTATTAAATATTGAGTAGGTATAAAAGAATATTTATTAAATATTTATTACCTGTAGCAACTAATGGTGCTACAAGCACTTGTGTACCTGGTAAGTTGTTTTAAGAAATGTTTGGCTGTGTGCAGGGGCTCATGTCTGTAATCGCATAGTGCCAATGCCCAGGCAATCGAGGCTGCAGTGAGCCATGATCGCACCACTGCAACTCCAGCTTGGGAGACAGAACAACACCCCTTATTTATCAGAGACTGGCTAAAGAAAAAAAGAAGGCTGGGGTGGTGGCTCATGCCTATAATCCCAACACTTTGGGAGGCTGAGGCTGGCAGATCACTTGAGATCAAAAGTTCACGACCCACCTGGCCAACATGGTGAAACAAAAAATACAAAAATTAGCCGGGAGTGGTGGAGCACACGTGTAGTCTCAGCTAGTTAGAGGGCTGAGGTGGGAGACTCACTTGAGCCTGGGAGGTGGAGGTTGTATTGAGCTGATATTGCACCTCTGCATTCCAGCCTGGGCAACTGAGTGAGACTCCATCTCAATAAATAAATAGATAAATGGATAGATAGATAAAAATTAAATAAAATTAATTAGATGGTATGGCTCTCTTATAGCGAGCAAGAGTGGGACAAAGTGGGGCAAAATTAGAGAGGTAGACATTCTCTGAAATCAGAACATCAAGGCCTTGATAAGTGGAGATTTTATTTTAAATAAGATGGGAATCTATGAAGACTTTTATTAGAGCTCTGAGGCACACATGGATTTATAAAACAGCAGTTAGACACCTATGTATCTCTAAAGTAATACCTAATCATTATTTATATAGTTTAGAGGACGAGAAGACCAAACATTAAAAAATACCTCTAAACCTGTATCCTTTTCTCTATTTTGAAATAATCTCTTACCTAATATAAAGTTTTTACTAACTTTTTACTAGTTTATTTACAAAACACCTTTGGGGAGAGACTAAAAGTGTTCAAACAGTGGATCCACTACTGATTGCCTTTTTAAAAAATTTCTTTTTAATGTTTTGGCAGACATGTGCATTGCCATTGCGATTTCTGTTCTCATGATTCTGATATGTGCCATGGCTACTTACGGAGCATACAAGGTAAGCAGCTTCCAGTACGATGCTGGCCTTTTCCTCGGTCTCTTACATGTTTCATCTGTGCTGCTATCTATAGTAAGAAAGAAGTGACTTTCCAGCTTTATGTAAGAATCTCTGAATAATGTTTAAATCTCTCATTTGTATTAGATGGTACTAGCAAAAGCAATAAAATCAGTATTATAGTCCTGGAAATTTTTTTTTGTTTGTTTTTGTTTTGTTTTGTTTTTGGGGACAGACTCTGTCGCACAGGCTGGAGTGGAGTGGCAGAATCTCAGCTCACTGCTACCTCCGCCTCCCAGGTTTAAGCAATTCTCCCAAGTCAACCTCTAGAGTAGCTGGGACTACAGGTGTGCGCCACCACACCTTGCTGATTTTTGTGTTTTTTTGGTAGAGACCTAATTTCACCATGTTGGCCAGGGTGGTCTCGAACTCCTGACCTCAAGTGATCCACCCCCCCTCAGCCTCCCAAAATGCTGGGATTACAGGTGTGAGCCACCACACCCCACCTCCTGGAAATGTTCACTGAAGCTTGTTTGTTGACTGCTTGTATTTGGCATAGCAGTTTACACCATGACCTGGTTTAATGAATTTCAATTTTTCCATTTCCTTTTAGAGTAATAAAATATTTCTTTGTATTTAACAAAATAGTATTTTACAATATTGAACATATTAACTTTCTGTTTTCTGTTCTTTTTAGCAACACGCAGCCTGGATTATCCCATTCTTCTGTTACCAGATCTTTGATTTTGCCCTGAACACCTTGGTTGCAATCACTGTGCTTGTTTATCCAAACTCCATTCAGGAATACATACGACAACTGGTATGTGGGCCTCTTATTTGCCGCTGCTTTTCATTAGGGAAAGCTGGTTAAGTAAGGGATGTAGAGTTATAGAGACACAGACATTAATTTCAGAATTTTTAGCTTGCAGCTGGGTTACTGATAGGATTATTTATTTATTTAGTGATTTATTTTTAAGATAGAGTCTTGCTCTTGCCACCCAGGCTGGAGTGCAGTGGCGCGATCTTGGCTCACTGCAACGTCTGTCTCCTGGGTTTGAGTGATTCTCGTGTCTCAGCCTCCGAAGAGGCTGGAATTACAGGCATGCACTAACATACCTGGCCAATTTTGTATTTTTAGTAGAAATGGGGTTTCTCCATGTTGGTCAGGCTGGTCTCAAACTCCTGACCTCAGGTAATCCACCCACCTCGGCCTTCCAAAATTCTGGGATTACAGGCCTGAGCTGTGCCTGGCCTGATAAGAAATTTTTGAGGGCTGGGGTTATTACTGGTGGCAGTAATGGTGGTGTTTGGTGTACCTACCTAAATTATAGTCTAGTTACTGAGAATCTTGTTTGGTAAAATGTAATTTTCTCAGTTATGAACAAAGGATAGCTTTTTGCTCTGCTAGTGTATTGAAAGTAGAACTCTGCTCAAAAACAAACAAAATAATTAGCTGGGAGAGGTGGCACATACCTGTTATCGCAGCTACTCAGGAGGCTGAGATAGGAGAATTGCTTGAACCTGGGAGGTGGAGGCTGCAGTGAGCCAAGATCACGCCATTGTGCTCTAGCCTGAGCAATAGAGTGAGGCCGCATCTTAAAAAAGAAAAAAAGAAAAAAAAATCAAAAGAAAGTGGAACTCTGCTTTACACTAGTTCCCACATTCGTTTGACCCTAGAGTCCCGTCTTTCCCAAGCATTATTTTGGGACTAGTTTATGGTTAAATGTCCTTTGTGACCATATGAGTGAATATTAGTGGCAGGGTATTAAGAAGCTTATAATGGTTATGAGGTTGGAATACCTCTGTAATTTTATTTATTTATTTTTTTGAGATAGGGTCTCTGTCACCCAGGCTGGAGTGCAGTGGTGCTTTTTGGCACACTGCAGCGTTGACCTCCCAGGTTCACATGATCCTCACATCGCAACCTCTTGAGTACCTGGCACTACAGGCATGCACTAGCATGCCCAGCTAAATTATTTTTGGTATGTTTTGTAGAGATGGGGTTTCACCATCTTGTCCAGACTTGCCTCAAACTCCTGGACTTAAGTGATCCTCCAGCCTTGGCCTCCCAAAATGCTGACATTACAGGTGTGAGTCATTGTACCACGCAACTTTATTTTTATTTTATTTTTTTATTTCTTGAGGTAGAGTCTCGCTCTGTCACCCAGGCTGGAGTGCAGTGGTGCAAGCTCAGTTCACTGAATCTTCCTCCTCCCGAGTTCAAGTGATTGTCTTGCATCAGCCTCCTGAGGAACTGGGACTACAGGCACATGCCGCCATGCCTGGCTGATTTTTTTGTATTTTTATTAGAGACAGCCTTTCACTATTAGCCAGGCTGGTCCTGAACTCCTGACCACAGGTGATCCCCCACACCTCAGCCTCCCAAAGTGCTGGGATTACAGGTGTGAGCCACTGTGCCTGGCCCAATTTTATTTTTTGAGATGGAGTCTTGCTCTGTTACCCAGGCTGGAGTGCAGTGCGTGCAACTGATCTCAGCTCATTGCAACCTCTATCTCCCTGGTTCAAGCGATTCTCCTGCATCAGCCTCCCAAGTAGCTGGGATTACAGGCGCCTGCTAACATGCCTGGCTAATTTTTCTATTTTTAGTAGAGATGGGGTTTCACCATCTTGGCCAGGCTGGTCTCTAACTTTTAGCCTCAAGGGATCCACCCACATCAGCCTCCGAGGGTGCTGGGATTTCAGGTGCTAGGTCCCAGCTAATTTTTGTACTTTTAGTAGAGATAGCATTTTACCATATTGGCCAGGCTGGTCTTGACCTCTTGTCCTCAAGGGATCCACCTGCATTAGCCTCCCAAAGTGTTAGGGTTACAGGTGTGAGCCACCACTTCCGGCCCTTTCTTGTTTTGTCACAGAATGATCAAAACACCCAAACTCAGCCAGGCATGGTGGCTCACGCCTATGATCCCAGCACTTTGGGAGGCGGAGGCCTGTGGATCACGAGGTCAAGAGATCGAGACCATCCTGGTCAACATGGTGAAACCCCGTCTCTACTAAATATACAAAAAATTAGTTGGGCACAGTGGTGCGTGCCTGTAATCCCAGCTACTCAGGAGGCTGAGGCAGGAGAATTGCCTGAACCCAGGAGGTGGAGGTTGTGGTTAGCCGAGATCGTACCATTGCACTCCAGCCTGGGTAACAAGAGTAAAACTCCGTCTCAAAAAAATAAAAAAAAAAAAAAAAAAAGAAGAAAAAAGAAACTCCATCTGAAAAAAAAATAAAAAAGTATAGATGAGACCGAGACAGACAGCAGCTGAAGCCAAACGGAATTCTTAAGTATTTGGAAGCTTCTCTATCCAAGTCTTTTTTCTTTTTTTCCTGAGACATGGTCTAGCTGTGTCGCCCAGGCAGCTGGAGTGCAGTGGCATAATCTCGGCTCACTTCAACCTCCGCCACAGAGGCTCAAGTGATTTGCTCACCTCAGCCTCCCAAGTAGCTGAGCTGGGTGAGAGAGAGAAACTCCATCTCAAAAAAAAAAGTTCAGAACTTGCAGAGAATCCACATTTCAGAGGTCCCTGGATATACAAAATGTCCCTGGATCCAGGCTGGTGACTTCTAACTTGTATGTGGTAGGAGGGCAGAGTCACGCTAGAACTTTTGTACTGGTCCTAAATAATAGCTGTCTGCTTTAATCCGTTGCTTTCTGAGAAGCGTGTCTGAATTGCTGCCCAAGGAATACTCTCTGGAATGATGAACGAGATTTGCTAATGAGGCCTTTTTCTTTTGCAGCCTCCTAATTTTCCCTACAGAGATGATGTCATGTCAGTGAATCCTACGTGTTTGGTCCTTATTATTCTTCTGTTTATTAGCATTATCTTGACTTTCAAGGTAAGCATGAAGATTTTACTTATAGTCTAAAAGTATTCAGTGTATTCCTGAATGCCAAAGAGGTAAACAGACTTTGGTCAGTTTGTTGTCTTTCTTTGGACATCCAAATTGCTTTTTGATTTCCTAAGATGACAGTTCTTTATGTCTACATTAGAGGAAAGCACTAACCAAAATTCCACAGCTTGATCAAGGGGTCCACAATATATTTGGACAGAGATAAGTTAACATAATGTTATACATTACACAGTATATAATACTGCAACATCCATTATGAAATCTGTGTAACAGATATTCTGTTTTAATTTTTTTGCTAAAGTGTAGTGTTTTCTGAATATTGTTCTGTCTCAATCCATTATATGAATATAATTATTTAATGAATTACCTGTTGTTGAACATTGAGACATTTTTACTTTTTTACTTAATAGGGCTGCAGTGAATATATTTAAGTACAACCATATATTTATGCATCTGTTTCCTCAAGGTAAATTTCTTAAAATCCAGTGTACTGATGGTTGGAAAGCCTTTGATAGGTTGTCAGATTGATGCCCCCCAACGTTAAATGACTTCTACTTCCAGCAGGAGTGCATCAATTCTTTTTCATCTTGGTCAGTCTGTTTGTAAAAACATCACGATAACTTGTGCTCGTGAGCTACTAAAAGGTAGAAAACTCCCTGATTGTTTATGCTTTGAACTGTTGTTTCCTTTACTTGTTTCTTATTTATTTTTTGTGAGGCAGGGTCTCTCTGTGTAGCCTGGGCTGCCTCCTGTCTTGGTCTCCCAGAGTTTTGGGATTACAGGTGTGAGCCACTGCGATGAGCATGCTTTGAATTTTTAAATCTCAGTGCCTTTCATTGTCTTAATCTTGGCATAAAATTACCTCCTTCTTCAAAAATTATTCCTCAGTAAACTTTAGAAAGCTGCATTAAGGCAGAAAATTCATATAGGTACTATGATGAAAAGGAGTAGTAAGACAGTGGTTCATTGGAAATCATTTGGCCAGGTGAGATGGCTCACACCTGTGATGGCAACACTTTGGGAGACTGAAGTGAGAGGATCCCTTGAGTCCAGTATGTGAGGCTGTCGTGTGCTACGACAGTGGCACTACACTCCAGCCCAAGAAACAGTGAGACCCCGTTTTTTTTTTTTTTTTTTTTTTGAGACAGAATCTATTGTCCAGGCTGCCCAGGCTGGAGTGCAACAACCTCTGCCTCCAGTGTTCAATCGATTCTCCTTCCTCAGCCTGCCAAGTAGATGGGATTACAGGCATGCCTGGCTCATTACTGTATTTTCATAAGAGATGTGGTTTCACCATGCTGGAGAGAGTGGTCTCAAACTCCTGGGCTCAAGTGATCCACCCACCTCGGCCTCTGAAACTGCTGGGATTACATGTGTGAGCCACCATACTCGACCCCTTTATTTTATTGCTGTTAATACCGCATTGTATGTATGGTGCCACATTTTGTCTATCCATTCATCAGTTGAGGGGCATTTGGGTTGCTTCTGCTTTTTGACTTTTATGGATCATGCAGCTGTGAACATTCAAGCTTTAGGTGGAGGTATATTTTAATTTTCTTGGATATATAATATATGTATGTATTTTATTCACACACACACACTATATATATATATATATATATATGTAATACGGGTGGAATTGCTAGGTCATCTTGTAACTCTGTTTAACCTTTTGATGACCTGCCAGACTCTTTTCCACATTGGGTACAACTATTTTACATTCTCATAAGCAATTTATTTCCTTCATTTTAGCAATCTGGTTTCTCTATGTGTTTAAACTTCTTTTAATCAGAGAATTTTAATGTTAAGGGATTTTGATACTGCAATTACAAATGATGAAAGTACAGAGCTCATAGCTTAATCATCTCCCATGGACTCACGTTTTATTTCTAAGCAATGTTTATTTTTGACATTATTTTTAAGTATCTTTGTCGGATATTTCATTAATAAAAGGTAAATGTTTTAGTCAATTTTATTGAGTGAGATAAATTTATATGCTATGAAATTTTATAAACAAAATTGGTTATATTGGCTGGGCGCGGTGGCTTAAACCCGTAATCCCAGCACTTTGGGAGCCCGAAGCGGGCAGATCACGAGGTCAAGAGATTGAGACCATGCTGGCCAACATGGTGAAACCCCATCTCTACTATAAATAGAAAAAAATAAGCTGGGCATGGTGGTGTGCGCTTGTAGTCCCAGTTATCCAGGAAGCTGAGGTAGGAGAATTGCTTAAATCCTAGAGGCGGAGGTCGCAGTGAGCCAAGATCATGCCACTGCCCTCCAGCCTGGCGCCTGGTGACAGAGCGAGAATGTGTCTCAAAATAAATAAATATGTAAATAAAAGAGTGAAAAATTAAAAAAAAAAATTGTTGTATAATAAAATTACAGATGATCATGTAGAATAAAAATTTCCAAAGAAGCAGTTAAAGTATGGTGATAAATGGATTAATACATTCGATGGTTCTGTGAATTCAGGAGCAATAAATGTTAATTGTGTGCTAGTTCTTTCCAGACACCTAGTCTTAGAAATTTCTTGTTCAATTCTCAACCCCTCTCCCTGCCACCTTCCCGCAGTACCCTCCAGGCACCCCCATTGGTGTGATAGAATACGGCTCCAGTAGCACAGTGCCAAGAAGTTACTATGTCCAATATTTGTACTTTTAAGTACTTTTGGTTTAGTAGAGTTGTTACAACATGTGAATTTATTGCTTACGTCAATAAAAGTTTTATAATATGGCTTTATCTGTGTGGTATTTGAAATTACCTGCAGTTTGAAAATTAAAAATCTGATAATCACTCGTCATTTTCAGGGTTACTTGATTAGTTGTGTTTGGAACTGCTACCGATACATAAATGGCAGGAACTCCTCCGATGTCCTGGTTTACGTCACCAGCAATGACAATACGGTAGGTTTGATTTCACTTACGGTAGAGATCTCACCCACACCTCTGCTGTATGATGATCTTTAAATGTTTCTAGTGTCTGCTACATTTTCGTTGTTACTGAAACATACTCATGAGCTGCTTAGTTATCAAAAGATTCATGCCCGTTATCAAAACATTTATTTAACTTTAAAGTGGAATGAAACGTATTTTATTTTTCTTACAGGACATTAACATGTAGGTGGCTCAACTCTGGTTTATTTTAAAACATATTACAGATAGTATATATACCTTACCATAATTATGTATCTTAAACATGCATTATTAAGCCATGATATATAATTCTACGTATCACTTCTGCATTGTATGATGTTATCTTATGTCACTTTATATGTGAAGATAAACAGATACGATGCTTAGAGGTAGGTTAAAAAAAAAGGAAAACTACAAGGTTACTATGTCTTCATTACTTACCCTTTGTATGTATTCTTAGTAAAAGAATTTAGATGATCTCTGTTCTACTACTAGTTGTTCATACTTTAAAATGACAAACCTGCCATAAAAGATCTTTGAAAATGTGTCTTTACTGGAAGAGTCCATGAAAACATACGGACTTTATGTAGATTTTCTTGAAATTTCCTGGTACATGGTAAGATGAAGGTATAAGTCCTCGGGTGTCTCCATCATCATTGTTTTCAGCATAGGGCCTGATGTCATGCTCAGGACCAGGAAGTGCTCCATGTGCAGTTAGTGACAACAATGGCAGTGGATGACTTGTCACTGTGTGGCACAGGACAGGATGGGTGGGTCAAAACAGGATCAGACAGGACAGGATGGACTGGACATGTGAAAGGAACACAAACGGTAGGAGGTCACATTTATGCTAGAGCAGAGTTTTATCTTTTTTTCTGTTGACTTGCTCACTCCGACCTTACCAAAATCATCCAGCCTGTTCCTCACTTTACTTGTGTATAAAATGAGAATAAAACAATTACAGAGTTTGTATGAAATATATAGGTGTAAGCTGCTGTATTACTGAGAACTCTGTGGAATTTTTAAAGCATGTTATACATTATCAATTTTCCTGTATGCTCACCACACATTTCTTGAGTTCAATCAAATATGCATGAGCAATGGTTTGATAGACAGCCGTGACCAGATTCACAAAACCTGGCACACCCAGATGCTGAGGAGGCTTGGTTTTGGAGTCCGCAGAATTCTGTGTATAAATTACAGTAATCACGTGTTCTATTCATCCCCTTTAAAAAATCACTCCTGGGTCTGTAACTCTCTTCAAAGAAATATCTACTCAAAATTTTTGGTGTGATTTTGATTAAATTACTGGTTTAGGAATTTTTCCCCTTTTCTCTGCATTGTCAGGTATTTTTGTTTTTTCATTTTACCCATTAAACTGTTTTTGAGTCTCGCCCAGGCTGGACTGAAGTGGCTCGAACTCGGCTTACTGCAACTGCAACCTCCTCTGGGAGCCCCGCCCAACTGATTCAAGTGATTCTCTCCTGCCTCAGCCTGCGGAGTAGCTGGGATTATAGGTGCCTACCACTGTGCCTGGCTAATTTTTGTATTTTTAGTAGAGGCGGGGTTTTCCCAGTTTGGCCAGGTTGGTCTCAAATTCCTGACCTCAGGTGATCCACCTGCTGCAGCCTCCCAAGGTGATAGGATTATAGGTGTGATACTGTGGCCGGCCTGTTTTACCCATTTTTTGCAGAAGGCAAATTGTTGGGTGGTTAGCTGTCTATATATTTTTTTCCGCCTTTTTCTTAAAAACAAAACAAAAAAACTCCATAATTAGTATCCTACTGAACTAATGAAAAATGTAACCAAGGTTTGAGATTTTTAAGTTTGAGGAACCAATAAAGTTGTGAAACAAAATACATCAGAACCTCTTCGTAAGTTTCATGGCGCATAATCTCTTTGTAAGTTTCAGGGCTTATAAAGCCACCATCTTTTAGAATTATGTCAGAGCAGAGAATAATGCCCATATTGCAGGTGCTTGTTTTGATATTGTGGTGTTATGAAAGGGAAGGAGATTCATCCACAGTTCCTGACTCACAACTTCATAGCCATTGTTAGTCTTTGGTTGTCTACCCTAGGTGTGTCCGGCCCTAAGGGATCTCTGATTTACTCCTCCCCTAAGGCAGGATTCTAATCTCCCTTCCTTTCTAACTGTGGGTCTTAACACCTTGCTTAGAGACAGTCCAGCCTCATACCCTCAGGGAAGGAAAGCTGATCATCCTTAGGAACCTGGAGGCTCCTTGAGGGTGGTACACCCAGGAAGGGCATTCCACGCCCTTCCCCCATAACTACGAATCTCTTCATCTGTATCGGTTGCAGTAACCTTTATAATAAATCAGTAAACCTTAGTAATGGTTTCTCTGAGTTCTGTGAGCTGCCGTAGCAAAGTAATCGGATCCAGAGTCCAAAATGCCATGGGAGCCTCAACTTGAAGGCTGGTTGGTCAGAAGCTCCTGAGGCCCAGACTTGCAGTGTGTCGGAGCGGGGAGGGAACACTTTTGAGGGCTGAGCCCTTAACCTGTGGGATCTGACTCTATCTCCAGGTAGATAGACCCAGTTGCTGTCTGCTGCTTGTTGGAGATGCAGTGGTGTGATCTCAGCTCACTGCAACCTCCACCTCCCGGCTTCAAGTGATTCTCCTGCCTCAGCCTCCCTTGTAGCTGGGACTACAGGCGCGCGCCACCACGCCCAGCTGTTTTGTATTTTTAGTAGAGATGGGGATTTCACCATTCGTCAGGCTGGTCTCAAACTCCTGACCTCATGATCCACCCACCTCAGCCTCCCAAAGTTCTGGGATTACAGGAGTGAGCCACTGTGCCCAGCCAGTCTATGATCACTTTCTTACTGTCTGATATGACAAGATGCTCTAGGCTCATCTTGTCTCTTTCTTGCCCCAGACGTGGAATGAACCATTTCTCCAGGCAGCCCTGCCTATGTTTCCTAAGAAATGACCTCTGGAGACCATAATCTGGATTTCTAGGGTTAGAGGACAGGCTTTTTGTTTTGTTTTTTGGCTTTTTAAATCAGGGCTCTGCATGTTTAAAGATTGCCTAGGACTAAAGTAGTTCATGTGAGTATTATCAATTAAGAAAACCAAAGTTACTGAAGGCTCCCCCTGAGACTCTAATGGGGGCTGGAATGATCTAGAACTATCATTTTCCCTGGTCTCTGTAGCTATGTGAAGAACCTCACCATGTGTAATAATGTTTGTCTTTTGTTCACATCTTCGTTGGGAATCCACAGTTACATAGTAACATGTCATGCCTTGCTTTCACTTACTTTTAAATATTAGGCCAGATAGCTTTTCTCCCAGACTGAATAGTTTCAGGTCGACCTCTGTGGAAAGATACTGGGTTCTTGCTGGTAGAAAATAAAAGTGCTTTTTTCTCCTCGTCTCTAAAACAGTATGCATATTATTACCCAGATGTGTTGTTTCCCAGATTCTTCTCGGAGGGAGGATGGAGAAGAGTGATTAGGTATCGGAGGTCATTCCCCGGGTTAATGTGTCCTCCAGTTTCCCAGCTAAACCAAACCACATGCTTTGAAAGGAATGCCTAACACAGAAGGTCACAAACTCTGTTTATGATGCTTTAGAGTCATCCCCTGCCAACTGGCCCCCAGCACCCTAGGCCTTTGAAATCAATACCTAACTATTCATTTTATTGAGTAATCATCTCCAAATGACTTAATAGTAGTCCTTAATAGTAGCACTTGTCAGTACCTAACAAGTGCTGGCACATTTTCCTTGAACATTTAAAGTATACCAAGGTGCCCTTTGAGTCCCTGCAGCTCCCTGGGGCCTCAGCGTGCCTTGGAAGACCCTTCCTCTTAGGGAAGTGTTATGGAAATGACATGGTGGGTATATATTTTATAATACTACACTCTCTACTGCTACCAAAATTTGGCCATAAAAGGAAAAACATTTAAATACAAATCATACAAATCAGGGGTCCCCAAGTCCCGGGGCCCCTCATAGCAGGAGGTGAGCAGCGGGCCAGCAAGCATTACAACCTGATCACCACCTATTAGATTAGCGGCAGCATTAGATTCTCATTGGAGCACAGGCAATATCGTGAACCACACATGCGAAGATCTAGGCTGCATGCTCCTTATGAGAAGCTAATGCTTGATCTGAGGTTCATGAACCTCAGAATCAGTTCTGAATCTGTTCCATCTCGAAACATCACGCCCTCTCCCCAACAACCCCTTGGAAAAGTTGTCTTCCATGAAACCAGTCCCTGGTGCCAGAAAGTTGAGGACTGCTAATATAGATTATGGTAACTTAATTTCATGCAAATTAAGTTTTTTGGGGTTGTTTTTTGTTTTGTTTTGTTTGAGTCTTCCTCTGTCAGGCTGGAGTACAGAGGTGCATTCTCTGCTCACTGACACCTCTGCCTCCAGGTTCAAGCAGAACTCTGGACCTCAGGTGGTCTACCCACCTTGGCCTCCCAAAGAGCTGGGATTACTGGCGTGAGCCACCGCAGCCGGCCACAAATTAACGTTTTGAAAACTATTTTTTTTTCTTTTCTTGTAGAGACGGGGTTTTTACCATGTTGGCCAGGATGATCTCGATCTCTTGACCTTCTGATCCACCCGCCTAGGCCGCCCTAGGTGCTGGGATTACAGGCATGAGGCACTGCGCCCGGCCTTGAAAACTATTTCTTAAACCTATGCTACCTTGTTTACTAACACTAATAAAAGGCCTAGATAGTGGTAAGATTCAATACTGTTACAGAATATCCAGGAGACTGGAGAGACCAATGGGTGAAGCAGGAGGATTTTATTAAGGTAGCCGATGGCTCAGCAGATTAGCATTCACAACTGAGCCCCGAAAAAGAAAATGGGGTACTTTTTATACATCCAGGATGATGTAGCAACTAACAGGTTTGCAGAAGCCAGAACAAAGAACACTTAAGTAATTTGTAACATGTCCTGTGATGTACATTTAAAAAATAGCATGTTTAGAAATGCACTGTACATTCTTTGGGTGT